GCATGGCTTCATGGCCAGAGAAACAGCTCAGAAAATGTCTGCCTATGAGGAAGCAAGAAGTGGAGCCAAAGTCTGTATATTGCACACTGAAGCAAAATAAACTACAAATTCAGGCCTCCTGGAAATCTACCAGTGTGCCTGTTTACTACAAGGTTGGATTTTACTCTTTATTTCAACCTTTTAGTGTGATGAGAAAAATTTGGGTCATACAGGCACAACAGAATAAAAATGCATTCATTTTTTTGTAATAGAATTTTATTTTTATGCTATAATGATACTTTTTTTATTGTTAGAATCAAAAGCTTCAAGAAACCAAAACCTTACCATTACAGCTTGTACAGCAGAATGGCAAAATCATGGCTAAGAATGCTGAGATCTGTATTTCTGTTATCATTGTATCCTGTGCCATGGAGTTTACTATGCTCATTTTTTGAAAGAATAAAAATGAGGGCAAAACCCAAGCAACATTTGCTTACATATGCTTCTTTCAGAAGGTATGGTCAGCTGAAGTTCCTCACAAGTCTTCTAACAGGACAGTAACTGTGTAAGAGGATGATAAGTTTCAACACTGATTTTAGAGGATGAGGAAAGAACTGTTTAGAAGGTTTAGATGATGTAACAGCCTCCAGGAGCCAGGGGCTAGATTCAGTCACCCAGAAAGAGTACTATCACGGATATGAATCTCTGCAGACTTTAAAAGCAGAAAGAGAACATAACATTGTTTGATCTCTTTAGGGAGCTGCTTCCAGAAAAAGTCAAAATTCTGTTACTCACCTAAAAGATAATTTGTCCTCTACACAATTTCAAAATTGTGTAAAACAGCCTTTAAATCACAAGACTTACTCTAGGCACCAAGGCAAGAAGGACATAAATCCAAATGAATATCTGCACAGCAGTATGGCTATATGATATATTTCTGTTTTATCTCAATGCCAGTTACTACGTGTTTAACTATGGCTATTGCAAATATTTAAATTGAAGGAAAGTGTCGCTGACATTAGTCGGGCAGCTGCTTTTAATGCTCTCACAATAGTGAGAAATGTAATTCTCACTTTTTACTAAAGGAAGTCTAATGGAATTCTTTTGTTGCCATCTAGCTGTGAAGATCACTTCCACAATCTGCAAACTGATAACATGCTGTATATTTTAATCAAAGTAAATGCGATGTAGGGCTTATGTTCCATAGGAAGAGTTAAAGAACACAGGAGAGAGAAAAGAAAGAAGCACAGCAAGGGAACTACAGAGAAGAGGGAACTACAACCCAGTGTCTAGTAGGGGATTGTAATAGCTTAAATCACTAAACTCTTGGTGGCAGGGAGTTTATCTTCCTTTGTGGTTGCTCAGCATTGTATTCCAGAACAACAAAGCCAAGTGGTGGTTGTAACACCTATTTTCTAGAAGCTAGCAATTAACAGGGATGACAGTCATGACCTGAGATGCTGCATCGCCAAATAGTTCCTCTTAAACTTTATTCTGTGTCTGTCATTTAGAGATTTTAGAAAAACCCCAATCATTAAGAAAATAGATAGGCAGGTATATTTAGGTAGGTAACATGGAAATGTTGCAACCCCATCATACTGCATGTCTCTTCCCCTCTGATGATGTAACCAGTTTTCAAAATTCTTACTGAATTGCAATCAAGCTGATTCATAACGATTTCCTTCTCCGTATTTTCCCTGCTCTCAAAAGAAAGGACTGAGGAATAAAGGAATCTCAATAATCCAGCTGTAGCCTATTGCTACTTTAGGATCTAACGCATAAAGTCATCTTCAGAATCAATGTTCTCAGGAATGTAAAAGAATGTGAGTCTTTTAGGAAAAAAACAATATATCCCTATATTGATATTTCTGTGTCAATACAGCCTATTGATTTTTCAGTGATGGCAGGTCTTGCAACAGAATACACACAGTAACATTAAAAAGACCACATTCCTCCTGACAAATGTGGATAACACGATGCTGGAGGCAGCAGATCCTACCCACAACCACTCCACCCCTGGTCACTAGAGCATCTTCTCTAGTATTTCTGTTCCAGCAATGTGTTACACAGAAACCTGAGGTGATCCAATGCAGAGCTAGCAAAGGTCTGGTAGGACTTGTTAGCGTAACATTACAAAGGCAGCTGTAATGCCATTGGAGCCAAGAGAACTGCATTCACAGTGCTGCCTCAGCTGGTGTCTGTGGCACAGACCATCCACAGCCTGGTTATTGCATGATAATTGAGGCAGCAATGCCTCTACACTCATCACGCTTTTGCAGAAGCACAGGTAAATAATACATGATTCATTCATTTACACATTTGTCACACTATTCGCAGCCAAGAAGACGAACAGAAGTGAACAAGGCTGACTCTTAAATCACCTGACAAAACAGACTTACAAAATCAGAGGGTTTAACCTGTCTGATCTTAGTAACCTATTAGAAAACCCTTCTAGTGCAAAAACCTGCACATTCCAGAGGTCTCCTATTTCAGTGTAAATATCCAGACCACAAAAGCTTTCACATGCAACTACGATGTAAGGAGATATAAGGAGGTGCAAGGAGGCCCAGATTACCTGAGGAGGATGGGGGGGTTACAGCCCTGTGATGAGCACCAGACACAGGGTGCTCACACCTTGTGTAACACAAGTTGCTGCTGGGTAGCACTTGGCTCCTTCTTCCAAATCAGCCCTTGTTCTGGGGTAAAGCCCATATTCAGTGACTTCCTGATGATCCGATCTGCCCTAGAGAGCACAGGTATTTTGTTATATACATGAAAACAAAGACACAGAGGTAAGTTATGTTGGAATGGCGAGCAAAAACCCCAACAAACCTAGTACAGCTCTCAAGTGCTGTTCACCCACAAGAGAAGGCAAGAAAAATCCCCAGGAAAAGCTACGAGTTTACCTACAGTCAAGCAGCCGGGCACAGGGCAGGAACATCCAGAAAGGCCAAGATGATCCTTGCGCTAAGGCAGCTGGGGAAAAAGCCCTTCTCGATGGTGAGGTGAGGGTGTCAAAACACCTCTTAAGTGTTTATAACGAGTTACATGGAGGAGCTGGACTAATTAATACACAGGCAACATGTCACGATCTTCCAAGCCGATGGCTCTGATGAATTTTGCTCAGTGCTTTGGAAACACTTCTAAGAGATGGAGAGGACTCTGTGAGAGATGGAAGAGAATGGACCCAAAAGCTTGCTCTCCCACACCCCACCCCCCGGAACAACAGCACTGTAGCACACAGAAAAGCCCTGTCCTGCCTCGGCCGCCCCTTTCAGGGTCCGTCAGGCCCGAACTAACCCCGGGGCCGAGCAGGACCTCCCAATGGCGGCCGGCCCGCCTCAGGCCAGGCGCCCCTCCCACCCCGCCCCCACCCAGCCAGAAACTACAACTCCCAGCAAGCTCCGGGGCCGGATAAAGGGCGGGGCCGCGCGCCTCTCCCCTTCCTGATTGACGTGCATGCAGCCACTCAGCGAGCCGCGGCATCCCGCTCCGCCCAATGGCGGGGGAGCGGGGGCGGGCGTTGCCGTACACCACTGCCGGGCCGAGCGCTGAGGGTGAGTGGTGCAGGCCGAGGGGTTCTGTGCTGGCGGTGGCACCGGAGCGCTGCAGCGGCACTGGCGCTCCCGGGACCGCCTTGTCCTTCTGGGGTACCCGGGGCGGCAGGTAAGGGGTAGGGAGTGGAGCAGAGGAAGGGAGCCGCGCCCGGACGCCATGGGGGAGGGGTTGGCCGGCGCTGAGGGGAGCAGGGGCGACATCGAGCCGCTTCCGCCAGTGCGCGGAGCTGGGCCCTGCGTGGTGGGGCTGGGATGGCGCTGCCCCCTTCTCCGGGGCGGAGACCGTGACCTGAGCCTCTTTCCCTGGGCACGGCCGTGCCCGCGGCGCTGGCGGCCATGAGGGGCTCCCCCCACGCTGCTCCCGGCCTGCCCTCGCTCCGTCTGGGGCTCCGCAGCCCGGAGTCTGGTTCCTCCCCCCCCAGCCCCCAACCCCCGGCAGTGTGTTACTTGTATTTTTCCATCTCTGGGAGGCTCCGGGGCCTGCGAATGCCACTGCCCGGCTCTAAGCAGCTCTGAGGTCGGGGGACGGCGGGGCCGGCGGCCGCTTCCTGCTCCGTGTTGCGTTGCAGACTGGCCCGTCCCTGTGGACTGGGACAGGCTGCTCCAGCCTCTTGTGCTCGCTGGGTCGTAAACTGCATGTATTGCGAGGGCAGTTCAGAGTGTGTCCTGCAGTGGCTGAAAGAGACAAGTGCCGCTGGCGTTCCTCTGGAGAAACAGGAGTGGCCCAGCGGGTGCATCTGCGGGGGGTTGGTCTGTCCTTCCATTCTGTGTGACAGCAGGAGTGAAGGGAATGCAGCTCTCCTACCTCAACGTCCCTCTACACTTCCATTACAGGGTGTTTAAACACTCAACTTGTTTTTCCTTTCTTCTGATTTTGGGACTATTGAAGGTAAGCTGTAGGATCTCTCGGAGAAATTAATGCACATGGAGTAGCAAGGAGCCTTTCTTCTGGCCAGTCTCCATCTGATTTTGTTGTTTCTGAAACAAGACATTGCCCAACAAAAAGTTTTGGTGTGTTTCATTCTGTGGGTGTTTTGTTAGCTTCTTTGTTTAAACTTGGGCTTCTCGTCTGTAGATGCAGCTGACTGCTTAGAGCAGGCAGGGTGGTATATCTTTGTTTTGATATCTTACCTCTTTTTATAGTGCTTCTCACCAAGCTTTTGTAGTACGGGACTGTTTGACCTAATTTGGATAAAATGTAATAGACTCAGGTTCTGTTTTCAGTAAAGTCACTGTTTTAGGTAAAGTTACTGTAGTGCACCTGAAAGCAAGGAGAATGCCTTTAAAGTTAGTGGAAATACAAGTGATAGGAAAGTTTTAAAGAGTGAAATGGGAGATATTGCTCCCTGTGATGATAAAAAATTTAAGACTAGCACTTTGATTGGTACACACGTGTTCTGACCACAGATTTTTTTTTTATCTGCTGCATCTTTAATATTGTCTTTCCTGTTTTTAAGAGTGCAGAGAGAGGTCTAAAAAATAGTAGAAATGAGAAGCAAAGTCTTAAAGCTGTAGCCTATAATGCTTTGACAAATGCAGTTTCTACTGTTCTTTGTCACCTGTGCCTTGCACACACCAAACATTTAGGCTGACTGCTTTCTTCAAGTAGTTACTTTAGTGTATTTGTAATGTTTAGGATGAATATGGCATAAAGTCTCATTTGTGTTAGTGAGACATGAGTAGCCTGGAGGAGAGGCACGGGGGTGTTGGTTGACCACAAGGTCAATGTGACCCAGCAATATACACTTGTATCCTGGAGATGAGAAGGCTCTGAAAAGACCTTGAAGCAGCTTCTGGTGCCTAAAGGGTCCTACAGGAAAGCCAGAGAGGGACTTTTGACAAGGACATGAGTGGTGAGACAGGGGGGAATGGCTTTCAACTGACAGGTATATTTAGATTAAATATTAAGAAGAAATTCTTCACTCTTGAGAAAGGTGAGGCACTGGCACAGGTTGCCCAGAGAAGGTGAGGCTGCCCCATCCCTGGCAGTGTTCAAGACCAGGTTGGATGGGACCTAGAACAACCTGATCTAGTGGAAGATCTCCCTGCCCATGGCAGGGGACTGGATCTGTGTGATAGAGTTCTCTTCCAATCCAAATCATTATATGGTAAAAAAGTCTACTTCTTGCCTTAGCTAGTTTTTCTGAATTCATGCTGGGCATGTGGGAGGCCAAGACTTTTTCAGAGTGGTGTAAGGAAAGTTCTCAGGTAATGTTGTCTAGTGAATCCATTATTTTCTATTATAGTTCAAACATGTTAAATTAAGTCAACCTGAACTCAGTGAAATATAGAGGAAAAAAAATAACAGGAGACTTAAATTGGTAAATATGGACCTAAATGTTCTTTTACTCCTAGTGTAAACATTCTTAGTTTAAATGACTTTATTTTTCTCAAATATCTACCTATACAGAGGAAGATTGGTGAATACAGTCTTTAAAATGCTTGTGAGTTAGCTAGTATAAATCTTGGAATGTTGTGAAGACTATACTACTTAAGCCCTTGGGAGAGCTCAGTGTCAGGGACAGTAACTGCCTGTGCAGAGCTTTGCATATGAGACGAAGGAGGAAGTGTTTTTCCTAGTTATCTATCATCCTGCAGTGATGCAACAGAAGGTCCCTAAAAGTTTAGAGTATTTATTGGCTTGCCGACTTGATCTGCTAAGTTTTCACATTAAAAAGGAAGTCTTTTAAAACTTTTAATTCTAGAATTTTGAATTGATGTCTGAATGCATCTTGCTACAGTGGAATAGATGAACTCGGAGCTTCAGCTGGAGTTATTTGATGCTTATGGGTTGAGGAAGGGGAGGTTGATGCAGTAAATCTATATACATTGTTCAGTCTTGAGAGTCTTGTGACTGCTGGAGGAGGAGCATGTACACCTTATTTAATCTGGGCTATCGAGTCCTGTATAACAAATCCTATTATTGGATAGAGTGGTCCTGAGGTTTTGAAAATCTTGAATTCTTCTTGATGAGTACACCTCTAAATGTTCAAAACTCTGAACTTGTCTGTTTACCTTCATTCTTAACACTACCAACTTAATCTCTGTAGTGCTCAAGAAATTCAGCTTTGCTTTATTATTACTGCCTGTTCTAACACTTTGGGTCATTAGCTTGTAGTTAAGCCAGTAGCATGTGGAAATCTATAGCCCCACAGGAAAGTTTTGTTCTTACAAGACAGAAATGTTGCTGGTTCATGGAACTCTTAAATTCCAGCAGTCTGATTTTCTCTGTAAATGTGTCTCTCCTGAGTTGAGTCGTCTTGACACTAATGAGCCTGCCTATGATTTATTTTGAGGTGGTTTTACAGTGGTGAGCTTTCCTATGATTATCTATTCTCAGCTTTCTTCTTTTACAGAAGCTTCTGAAGAGGGTAAGGTTTGAGCCATTAGCAGTTAAAATATTTGTATCTTACGTATAATCTCAGTGTTGAGTATAAAGAATGCCTACTGCCAGCTTTGTAAGATTCTGAAAATTAAGCCGTCTAAATAGCAGTGGTGCTCTCTGTCACTTAGTTAAAGAAATGTTTCTGTTCTGTGTTGCCTTTAAGGTCTGATAAATGATCCTCTGAGACATGTCATAGATAAATAATCTGTTGGTTTTTTCTTCTGTGATGGCTCTTCTTTGGCACTTAAGCAACTTGAGGACAAAGAGAAACTGTGCAACATTTAATGTTTGGAGTCATCCCAAGTGTTTTCTCCTGCCATATTTTTAACCCTTTCTAAATATAGTTTGTTAGCATACCATTGCACTAGGTTGTATGCAGTGGGAAATCTGAAAAGCACCAGGTCTCATGAAACCTGGGTGCTTTGCATCCAAACCTGTGCTGTCTGTGAATGAGTATTCAGCAGTGCAGATACATCAGTATTTCAGATTGCTCTCAGAGGTTCTATTTAGTAACATGTCTGTCAACTGATATAAAGTTTATTTCTTTATCCTCCTCAGATGTGTGCACCAACCAACATTTCCCAGCTTTTTAGTCTCCAAGTGTTATTTTTTTCCCCCAGATCCATTATTTGAGGAGAATCGAGGAAAATGTCTCCTGACTTTCTTAATGAAATAAACTTAGAAAGACCAATGGCACAACTTCTTGATATACCTCAGATATTTCTCAGTCTTGTTCACTCTCCTGCTGTATGGAAAACTGCTTTGCAGAACTTGGTTTTGATTTCAGTTTTCTAGCTGTTAGAAGATGATGTTAGCTTGGTTTTGAACAACTAGCTTGAAAGAGCCAATGTGCTAGGTTTAGGCAAGATTCTCTCACTTGCTGTGTGTCCTCCTTGCTTCATATTCTTTGCCTTGTCTCCAAAATGTTCCAAACATACGAATAACAATTGTAGGGAGTGAGGAACTTCTAGAGCACCTAGAAGGTATACTTACAGAACAGTGCCTCTGGTTGGATTTGTACAAGTAGAAAATTAGATATGGTCTTGGCTTAAAAGTTCTTGTTCCCTATTCCAAAAATTCAGTGGAGTAAAATAGGATCTTCCCAAGAATGGCGAAATGAAATCTAGACCTTAAGAACAGTGGGGTGAAGTGTGCAAGAAAACTTGCATTACCTGAACACAGAATGTTAAGAAAATGGTTGTGTAGGTGAGTCTTGAATTGAGGAAGCAGAGTCTGAAAGTCATTTCACAGCTTTCTCTGATAGCAAATTTGGAGCCTTAGTCTTCAGCATCACAGGTGAGAACATAAAGTTGTTACTTAGATCTGCAAGAAAAACTCTGTAGAAAAGCTATACATGGAAGTTTAGATTTAAAAAAAAAAAACGCAACATCTTAAAACTATCAAAATAGATTAGGCTCATATTGGGAGAGACTGTTAACAGTTCTCAAAATTTCATGCACTGTGACCAGAATCTGGCTGTGGGCTCACTGGGTGTTACATCTAGCATATAGCAAATGGTCCAAGCCTAAAAAGCAGGCTCACCTGCTTACAGCTTTTTCAATCCAGTGATAGTTTTGAAATGAAAAAATGGGAGGAAAAAGAACTTGAGTGGCATATTGTATTGCTTAAAACTGTGCCTAAGTGTATCTTTGAGCTTAGTAAAAGTACCAAATTTAGTGTAAGGATTTTTCTTAGGCATATTTTGTTTTGATAATGTCACAGTTCAGTGATAATGGGTCTTTTAAGTAAGGAAGAAGCACAGAGAGAAAGTTTGGGGGGTGGAGGAATCAGGCTTCCTTTAACTCAAGGTAGTGACTGAGTGCCAGTTCCATTCTATCCCACTGCATGGTCTCAGTGTTTCTTAATCTAAGAATAGTTCAACAGTGTATGTGCTGGTCTTTTCAGCATAATGACAGTCAGTATTGTGAAGACGGTTCTGCAGTGCTTGTTTAACATAATTGTTTTTTTTTTACCTGATCCCTGCACTGTGTCTATTCTGCACCTCCTCATTGTGTGTTGTTCACATAATAATTGTACCATGAGCAAAGATGTGAATTTCATTACCACATCAGCTACTCCTAACTGCTTTTATACTCTTCACCTCTTCCTGCCTAGCAGTTCACTGTGTGATGGAGAGGGGCACACGCACCTACAGTTAACCAGTGTAGTGTAATCTTGTGTTCTCCTGCAGATCAATGAGTACTTCTAAACTGAAATTTCTTTGCTCCACTTGCTTTCCGCACCTCTCCAAGTGTTCAGCTGTCACCTGTAGGAGTATGATGATGGGCGGTAGAACAGAACTGCTTATCAGAAATTTTTTGTTTTCTGAAGATGGATACGTATTGATGCAATTCCCAGTGATTCCTGCCCACACACAAACATTGCTTTAATCAGTTGCTTTCAAAGTAAATTGGGATTCCTCAGTATTTTCTAGTTTGCTAATAAACTAGCTTATTCTACTGTTTAGTTTAGGAAATGACTAAAAATGCCAGAGAATTCAGTCCCGGCTGCAGGTGTCTGAGGCTCAGTTACCAAATCTGATGCATTCCCTCTAGCTTTGGCCAGATAGTGGTGAGTCAGGAATGAGAACCTTGGAGAGATGCTGTATTGATGAGGACAAGCATTACAGATAGGTAATCTTCTCTCTTCTTTTCTTATAGGTTTGGAAGAACATTGTTCTCGGGCAGTGAACATTCTGCACTTTTGAACAGAGTGCTACTTGAAGGAGTAAAAGGAATTGATAGTTGTTGCTTCCTTCCATTTTTTTTTGTACTTGAACTTCTTCCTTTCTCTGGGTTTTCAATTGAAAAAGGCCATGAGCTCAGTAAGTATTTTAGTACTCTATGCAAACCTGGTTCTTGAAATGAGTTGTTGCTGGTAACCTCCAGAAATGCTTTGAAAGAGTTCGTAGTAAAAGCACAGAAACACAAGCCTACGAAAACCTCATGTAACTGAAATTTCTGTTATACTTCAGTATTTAAATCTCTCTAGAAGCTAGCAGTAGGTCAGAAATGCTTAGAGTGTGAGCAGAAACGTGGCACAACTGTGAACTAGTCTTTCTCTTTTACAAACCTTCATGAGATGTTTTGGTTTTGTGACCTAAGTGGTAAGAGGTCTGGGGTGATGTCTTTCCCTTGCTGCAGTGTGTTCAGGTAGGAGTGACCCATCCTGGCAGTGGATGCATATGGCAGCCTTTCTAGGGAGGGTTTTGTGTGTCCTTGTGCACTTTCATTGGTGCTGCAGAGATGAGGGTCACGTGGGAATGACTCTTAAAGAAGATGCTCTGGCTCTGTTCTCTCTTAGGGTCAACGCAAGCGCCGTGGAGGAGCAGTTAATTCCAGGCAAGTTCGGAAGCGAAACAGGCTAATGGCTTCTACAGCAGAAATGGCTTCAGAAGCAGAGCCAATAGAGCTTGAAGAAAGCGGTAAGCTTTCTTTTGCACTTGATGAGATGCTAAACAGCTTCTGGAGGCTTGGGGTCCCACTTGACCTGTGGTTTTGCCAGTTGCTAGGCCCCTTCTTGGGGGCAAAGGGAAACCTTGGGTTCTGTCAAGTGTCTAGTGCCCATGGCAGGAGGGGTGGAACTAGATGATTTTAAGGTCCTTGCAACCCTAACTGTTCTGTAATTCTATGGCATCTACAACCAACCAGCATACTGACAACTGTCTGAGTTTGATACTGAGACGCAGTACATTCTCCACTCTTGATGAGTTAACGTAAGAAATGTGCTCAATTGCTGTTCAAACTCAGTTGGGGAACTCCCAGCTTTTAAGGAGGTAATCAAGTCTTTGTCATCAGTGGTGCCCCATTCCTCAAGCGAAGATTTGTGGCATTGTACTATAGAATGATTAGATTCTATGGAATTCCTGTTTTGTTTTTTTTTCTGTGTGATCCACATTGTCCTACATTAGATGAATAATCTGCTGCTGTGTACCTGTCAATCTCTGTTGTCATTAGTTGCACCTTGTCCCTCGAGGGAGATTCTGGTCAAAAAGCCTAGAAAAAGTATCGGAAACTAAAAAGTCTTGACTCTTAAATGGAATTTTACACTGTGTTCTGAAATCCTAGGAAAGATTAAAATTAACTGTTGGTCTCGTGGTTATTACATGGAGCTCTGCTGTGCATTTGACTGAAAGTTTGGAAGAGACATGAGAGAGGAACTTGTACAGCATGGTGCTGTAGTTATTCTATATTATTCATGTTTTCTACTGTGTGATAAACATTCTCCTCTGTGAGACATTAGATAATCTGCCTTCTGCAAGCTGTTACTGCACAATAGAATTGTACGAGTTGTTCAGATACTGTTCCTCTTGCACTGCAACTTGCAGAAGACTGGTGGTAACACTCTCTGAGGGCTCATGAGGGCAAAGCTTGACTGAAATCTTGGTCACATTTAGGAAGAGAAGAGGAACAGGGCAAGGTTGAATTATACCTCAGACTGTTATGAAGCAGCAGGCAATCTTATTCCTCTGCAATCTCTGATCTTGCTTCTAATGTTCTGTTTTTAAGCTGGTGAAGAAGTAGTAGACCTCACATGTGAATCTTCTGATCCTGTAGTTGTTGATCTCACTCACAATGATTCTGTTGTGGTAAGTAGTGAATGATGCTTATCTAAATCTTGTAGGCAGACTGGGTTTGTATTGTACTTCCTGGCAGAATCAGAATTTAAGGACAAATTTTAAGGTCAAAGCTGACTTGTCAGTGCATGAAAGCCATGTATTATAGGTTAACACAGAAGCTGCTCTGGAGGTGCACTTGGAAATACTGGGAGGGTAATCAAAAACGGGTTTTTGCTTCAGAACCTGGGCAGAACATACCAGTGATGGGTAATTTAACATAAGGAAATGCAATTTAAAGTTGAAGCTCTGATAAACAATCAAAGATATGGGCCAATGATTTAAATAAAAAGTGAAGGAGATAAGTCTGTGGCTTTACAAATATGAAGTGCTTAGCTGCAGCATTAAAGTTTCTCTTTGTCACACATATGCCAACTGCAAATGTAGGTTATTGTGCTACAAACCAGTTTATTACTCCAAGAAGCCTTAAAGAAAATCCACTTGCTTTTCTTATTTCTGTGTTTAAAGCTAGAATACATTTGATCCAGTCCACAGTGCAGTTTATAACTTCAGGTTGGGGATTCCACTACTGCTTTGCAAACCAGAGGCAAGCAGCAGGAATCACATGGAGGGGTATCTGCTGCTGGAATTGTTCCTGAGACTTTGCAAAGGAAAGGCCTCAAACTTTACAACATAATTCTCATCAAAATCGACAATGGGTTTGGGTTATTTTCTTCAGCAGCTGTTAATCTAATATGAAGTATTTGTGGGTAGCATGCCTGGATTGGCCTGTTGGGGGGGGGTGTGGGCAGGGGCAGAAGAGGGAAAGAGTCTTCTCCAGTCTAAATCCAATTAGGGGATACTGAAACTGGGGAGCAGGGAGGAGGGCTCTGGTGCTTCATAAAGTGCCCCCATTTTTGTCTCTTTATGGCAGTGTGTGCAGAAGCACCCTCATGTTTTCAGAGCAGTAGCTAATCTACTACTACCATTAATATTCTTCAGCAAAATGAGTGAGTGATATCCTATCATTCTTAGCTTTTGTTGTCGTTGCTTAGCTTAGCAGGTGTTTGTATATAGTAGTAGGACTGCACACCAAAATCTAATTGTGTTCTTTTCTCTTCCTTCCCATATCTTCTGATGCAAGATTGTTGAAGGTGAGTTGACATTTTACAGTTGATAATGGCATTGTTCTAAAGTTAATTTTTGTGTGTTTTCCAATGAACTTGAGCAGCATGGATTGAAACTGCCTTTTCTAAAAGGCAAAAGACAGTGCTAAAGCATCATGTGAATGGATCCAGTCTGTGCTTAATAGTCACTGACAGAGCTTGTAGAGAGTATCTGAAATAAAATCCATCAAGGCTGCTGAAAATGTTTTGTTGTTTTCCAAGTACAGAAGTTCTTTAAGGCCAGGGCTGATAATATTCTGAATCATCTCTGGCATATCTGCTTTGAATAAGAAAATGTTGAAAGTTTTTCTTAGCTTTTATTGTGGAGAAGGAAGTTGAGAAGGAAGTTACTGATGGTGGTAATACTTAATTTCATTATCTGGTGTAACATGCCTCAAATTTATCAAGAAGTGTAGTTTTTTTGGGGTTTTTTGGTTTGGTTCTTTTTTTGGCGAATTTAGGTGTTAACAATAGTTACAGGTGTAAAGAAGTATCCTTTACACCTGAATACTTGTGCAGGAAGGAACTTTAATTTTATGGCAATTTATGTAATTTTGATTGATTAGTTAGTGCTTAATTATTTTTACATGTAAGTGGAGTCACAGAGATAATTATTACATGTGGTTTCTGACTGTTAAAAAGTAAACAGCAGTTCTTTAACCTTTGGATGTTCCAGACCAGAGAATAAAAAAAACACCTTACCTTCTTTTATCTTGGGCAGTATAATTCCATTATCAAGTTTTCTTGACACAGGAGGAAGATGATGAAAAGACACTGCTTAATACATTATTCTAATTTCCAAGTACTGATCTAAAAAGGATTAATTTTATAGAAGCTGCCTTTATGTATGGAGCTTTGACAAAGAGAGGAACAGTTTAGAATCATACCTGGATAGAGCAGTGAGGAGCCACAGCAGCTCTATAACTTAAATATTTAGATGCAGGCATCTCTTCCATATCTTCTGAAGGTTTTGGAACCAGGCACGCTTGTGTTTCACCAGGCCTTTTTGTTGTGTATGTGCTCCTGTGCCATGCAACTTGGAAACTTAACTTCAGTCCTCTCTGAATTTCTCAACATAATATAGTAGCGGTCTCTGATAGTAAGAAAGAAGAGAGGGTGCTTCCCTTTATGGGGGAGATCTCTTCACAGGTAGTGTAACTGTATGAAACTTATGATACCAAGTAACATTATGGTCATGATTCAGCAGTTTGTGAATAGAGTAAATTTTTTATGTTGATATGCAGCAGAATATTTACAGTGTTTGGAGGTGTTCCACCTTAATATTTAGGAAACTAGATTGTTTTTAAGCCAGCTGAGTATGGTCAATTTAAAATGTGAACCGTACAGACTGGTTTTAATCATGCATTTCATGTATAGCTCCAGGGCTATATATTTTGTTCTGTGTCTAACTTAATAAAATTAAATTACAGAAAATCAAGGACAAAGGAGAAATCTGAGACTCAGAAGCCAGCGACAGTCAGACAGCTGTGTATTAAGTAGTGATGATGAAGATGAAACAAGAGACAATGATGTGTATGTGACACATAAACTGTCTCGAGAATTGAGACCACTGGAAGATGAAACTGCAAGTTCAAAGTATGTATGTTTTATGACCTACCCAAACATAGAATTTTGCCTTTTTTATGCATACAGGACTAAGCTACATTGCTATTGCCTGGCTTATGTTGGAAGTCTTGTCTTATTCCAGTTAATTCCTTCTGTCAGTGAGGGAACTTTTTTTTTTCTCATCACATATCACATGGTGACCAAATGATACCATTTGCACTTAAGGCTAAAAAGCCAGCCTGAGATAGATGGCAACTTTGCGTACAACCTTAAAGATGAATGTGGGGATATAAGAGGGAAGGGGGTTGGTCATAAGCCATGGCTCATTAATGTATTGCATTTACTTTTCATGCAAAGCCCTAGTAGTGATGTTAGATATAGAAATATTTTCATGGGTGTTGATGAGGCTTGTTATCATGAGACCATCAGGAAGCAGCATAGCAAATTTCAGTAAAAACTGTTACAGTTTTTTTTACACACTCTGACAGTTAACTGCCTTTTTCTCTCAGGGCAGTAGCCATTCTTCCAAGGTATAATTGCAAGGCAGTTGTGGACATAATACTGTTATAGGGATGTTTTGTTCTGTCTCAGGTATTTCATGATGCTCTGATACGCTTGCATGTAAGGTGGAGATCTCGCTGTTAAGGATAGCAGCCATAACAAGAAGGACACTATTCAACAAATTGCTATAGGAGCACTGCCTTATGTTGAGAAGGATGCATGTATTGGGCTAACTAAATGAAATCAGGTGACCATTTGACTAGGGAATATGAAGAACATGAAAGTTGTGGTACAGACATTGCCTTTATTTTTTCAGCTGTTAGGGGAGGGAATAAAGATTTTAATAAACTAGCGTACTTTGAGCTTTTACTAACAGGCAATGAAGGAGAGAAATTGGGTATGAAAATTTTTGATGTCAGGCATTTCATGTATGTAAGAATTTACGAATTAATGAACAACAGAACAAATTTACAAATGTCATAAAACAGTGCATTGTACGAGTGAATTTATAAATTTTTAAGTCACAGATTATTAAAACAGTGATGTGTATGTGACTGGTAGCTTAGTTTTCTAAAGCATAAATAGGGATGTACCATAGAAGCAGGTATTTTTCCAAGCTATTGGGTTCTGCTTTATGTGAAAAATTCAAACCTAAAATGTAATTACATTACTTGCAATAGAATAAAACCCAAAACCCAACACAAGGTTTTGTTCTGTTGTTTGTTAATTCATGTTCATTACATACATGAAATGCTTGTAAAACCTGAAACACACACCTAAAATATCTGTAAATATGCTTCTTGCCATGAGAGATTTGATAAGGAAGCAGTTCTTGGAATGAGTGTTCTCCAAAGGACAGGTAGATGCTTTTGTCAGAAAACTCTTATTTCTGAGCCATTGAAGATCAGCGCTGCCACCCGTGTGCTGCACTGTACTACAGACCGCTGTTCCTTGTAAGAGTAGAGCAGGGAGACTGTCTGCATTGTCCCCCTCAGCAGAAGCAAGACCCAGTTTCCTTTAGGGAGGGGGCACCCTAACTGCTTATTCCATGCAACAAATGGAGAGAGTGAAAGACGCGCAGGGACCTTCAGATGAAATGCACCATGGCCGGTCTGTGCGGTCGGGTGATGACAAGGCATTTTAGGTAGCAGTGACCCTTAATGCACGGTGACATTAATGGACGCGTGTTCTTTCTGGTTTTGTTCTCTTTACCACAAGGCCGTCTGGTACCGTTAGCTGTCCAATCTGCATGGATTTCTACTCTGAGGTAAGGATCTGCATCTTCTCATGGCTTCTTTTGTGCTGGAAGGAGAACGGGATGTGGGGTGAGCTGAGCATGTGTGCTGGGTGCTGTGGGATGCTGCAGACAGCTGGCTTGAGGTACAGACCTCACTGGGAAGGTCAGAGTGGCCTGGAAGTCAAAGTCCTTTCTTGGTGGTGCACGTAGTGCCAGAAACGCTTCCCAAGGTGGCACTAAAAGACCTTTGGGTTCCTTTAATCAGCCATGTACTGATTCCAGGCACCCAAGTCCTCTCTGCCTGGTACCACTAGAGCAGTAAAGCAGAATTCTTCACACCAGGTTCCTCTTGTGGTTTCTTTTCTTCCAGATTGTGCAAAGCGGACGGCTGATTGTGTCAACTAAATGTGGCCATGTCTTCTGCAGTCAGTGTCTCCGTGATTCCCTAAGGAATGCCAACTCTTGCCCAACCTGCAGGAAGAAACTCACTCACAGACAATATCATCCCATTTATATATGAGTACTTATTTTTCTCAGGACAGACTCCACTGGGATGTTGAGGAATATGTCATGGGTTCAGAGTTCTGAAGAATTAAAGAGCGGCAGGTTCTGCAAATCCAAACTGTTTTTCTTCGAGAATAAATTCTACATGTATAGACAGGTTTTTTTATTGTCCAGGCTACATCTTGTAATGTCCCTGGTTATAATGTTAAATTTAGTACTGGCTCTAAATTAGACCAGTGGCCTAAATTGGAAAGGAAGCAACTAATGCATTTCCTTCCACTTTTTGCGTAAGTAAGAGAGGTCTGATTATTTTGTTGTTTGTTCCTCTTAAAATTATTCCCATCCTTGCATACAGGTATGGAAGAGTTAATGTTCAAAATACAGCCCAGCAATTTGCTAGTTCCTTACGCTTTTGCTTTTATCCTACCAGAAGCTCATCACTATATTGCCTTCTGCTATTCCATCCTTACCCGAGTAGAGGTCTCTGTTAAACAGACAACAAGGGTAATGCAATAAAATCGCCTGTTAACCCACAGTCAGGTGTTTTAAGCAGAAAGCTTGAATGTGTGGATTTCCTTAAAAAGTCCACGAGATCTAATGTGCGTAGACAAATTGCAGCATGGGCAATGTGAAAATACTACTTGGGATGTTTTAACTTGAAACAGTTCCCATAGTGGAATCACAACGCTGAATTTCTCTACTAACGTGATGAGGTGGTCCCTTGGGTTTATTGCTGTTCTATAGCACTCTCTCCTGGTAACTGAGGAGAACGTAGATGTCTCTTGGCTTGCTAGTGACGCATAAGAAGCAAATATATGTCTGCTGCCCTCTTGTCAGCTAAATCCCAAAGTACCCACAGATCTTGTACCATATGAAGTGTCCCCAGCGCAATGCTTCAAGTCCAGTGTGATTGCTTGGCTGTTCTCTTTAGTTCTTACAGTGACACCTGATGGTTTTAGCCTTTAGAAGAGGACTCAGAGACATGTTCCTGGAGAGAGCATTCTTCTCTTGAAGCAAGGCAGGAACACACAGGTTTATGCGCTGTCATCCAGACAGCTGGTTTGGCTTTTTTCCCCACAGGCCTGAGTTAGAAATGTCTTCTTTAAACCTGTTACAGGTAAAAGCTGCAGGCTGCAATGTGGAATCCCAGAAGGGCTGATATAAACAGGAGCTGATACAAAGGAGTCATTCTGTGTAGGTGAGATGACTAGAATCAGTATACTGTGATCCACATGTGCATCTATGAGAGGCTCCAAAGTTAAGCTCAGGCATCTTTTGGCAGGTGGGTTGCGCCAGACAGCCAGCATTAGCACCATTCTGCGCTCTGGGACAGCATAGTTGTAGGATGTGTTTTGGTAATGCTGGTATCTGAAGTGTCTTAGCTTGCCTGTCTGAGGGATCTGTGGGAAGCCTTCAACAAAAGCAGCTGTTCTAATGAGCTGTCTCAAGTTGTGTTTTAAGATTGCAACTCACAAGTAGAGTGTTTTGGGGTTTTATGAGGATGTTTAGAGAAGTTTCCTGATGTAGTCATGCAGACAGAGCTTTGTTCCATGATGGCTTGCTTAAGAACTGGAATACCTTCCCCACCCTGGTTTGGAATCTCTTTGGTTCAACATTGTTATCTGGAATATGCAGTTTCTGCATTGTGGCAGTCTGGGAATTGCTCAAATTACACACCTTTAGTTACTGTGTGCTCCCCAAGCAAGGACTGCTGGAGTCCTGCAATAGTGCGATAGCTCCAGGGTGCTGGTGCTTAAGTCCCTAGAAGCAGAGAATCAATGGAGCAACTCCAGAGATTGCTTCCAGTGATAGCTGCCTGAAGAGATGCAGCCCAGTGTTACAGCTGTCAAGGTGCTGTAGGGGCCACAGCAACCGCTTGCTCCTGGTAGCTTACAGAGAAAAAGAGGAAAAAAAGGGAAAGACGAGCTTTCCTTGGGTGCTCCTGCATGAGAGGGATGAGAAGCAGAGGGTTTAGTGGTTTAGCTGTGGGGATAAAGGGTGGTCATGTACCTGTGCTTCTTTCAAAGTGCACTAGCTGTTGCCTAAACTGACTTTGCACAGCTGCCTCCATGGAAATACCCCTTTGCAGGTAGTGTTGCCACAAATGGATCTAACTGAAAATCTCACACCACAAACTAGAGGCTATTTGGCAGAAAAGGTTTTAGCTTTTGTGTAGCCTGTGAAGTGCCACAAACTTTGGGCAATGCAAAATGGAATTTTAAGTCTCAGCCCATGGAAGAAGACTAAATTGCATTACAGGCTTTCTTTTGGAGGGATTGGAAGGGTGAGAAGAATCCTCACCAGATTGGAGTTCCAGTCAAAGTTTCACACTGTCAAGAAATTACAGGGAATATAAAGATTTTTTTCATTATGTAAATGTATCTCTTCTTGTTGTATATAGTTTGTTTTTCCTGTATTTAATGGTATTCATGTCTGTCTGTCCCACGTCCATTGGACTACTGGTAGGCAAAGAGTTCTTTCACCAGGTGGAAATAAAACTATTGATTTGATGAACTGGAAGCTTTGGTTCTTTTAATCCCAATGTGTTGTTGATTAAGGGCGGGTGGAAATCCTACTTTCCCAAACTTTGAGTTACTTTTTCTGGCGTATCTTGTATGGGGAAGGGGAGGGAGGTGCTGCCTGAGCACGTGCGTGATGATCGTTTCCATATGAAATCCTCAAGGAGCTCTGCTGGAAATGTGACTTCTGTGAGTAGTCCTAGAAAGAGTGGTTTGTGATGGACCTGAGCAGCTGCTGTGTGAGTAAATGTACTCTTCTGACTGAGGGCAGTGCTACTTGAGCTCCTTGAGAGTCTATTGTTTTCTAGTGATCCCTGGTCAGAGCAGACCGAAACCTTTCTGCAGCTTCTGGTTGCACTGTTGTTGTTCCCTGCCTTTGTGCCCTCGCTGGGGCTCTTCTGGGAAGAAGCTTTACTTTATAAAGCCAAGAGGCTACCTGTTCTGCAGTTTTTCAACAGGCGTGTGCAAAGAGAACTCGAGAGAACCCGCGTCATTGGACATGGAATGTTATGGGATGTTACGGTTGCTAGGGCACAGCGTCCTGTGATGCTGCGGATGCAGGAGGCTGAGGATCAGTTCCCAGCTTTCTCTGCTAGGGGGCAGACTCTGAGCCTTGGCGGCGTACGGTGCAGGTAGGAACATGAAGCAATTGGCTCAAGTTGGCCAGAAAGACTCTGGAATAATGAGGGATGGAAGTGTAGATGATTTGCTTCCACCATTTCCACTCACAGGGAGCAGGAATCTGAAAACTATGAGAAACTAATAAGAGGGGAAGGGGGTAGTAGGTGTTGGGTCTGGCTCATCCTTCCCAAGCTGTGGGGCATGGAGCCAAAGGGGAGGCTTTACCAGCACTGAAGGCAGCGGGATAATCCCCTCTCTTGGGCGGCTGGTCATGCTGTGCTGGATGCAGCCCAGGGCGTGGGTTGCCCCCTTGGCTGCCAGGGCAAGGCACTGACTCCTGTTGAGCCTGCTGTCAACCAGCACCCCCAGATACCTTCCTGCAAGGTTCCTCTCCAGCCGCTCCTCTCCCCATTTATGCTTCTAGATGATGCGTTTCTGTGTCCATTGGTGTCCTTGCCAGGTCTTGCCTGAAGCGCCTGCCTCTCTTCCTTGGAGAATTACAGGCAGGTGGCAACTCCAGAAATCTGGCATTTAACCTGGGACATCCCCTGTAGTTTTGGACAGGAAGTGGTGGGTCAGGCATGGGAACCTTGGAGAAAATCTGTTTTGACAAGGACAAGCATTACAGAGAGGTAATGTTCTCTTCTCCTCTTGTAGGCTTGGAAGCACATTGTTCTTGGGCAGTGAGCCACCTGCACTTTTGAACAGGGAGCTACCTGAAGGAGGCAAAGGAGTTGAAAGTTGTGGCTTGGTTTTTAACCAAGAAAGACCATGAGCTCCGTGAGTATTCTACTGCTCAATGCAACCCTGGTTCTTAAAACGAGTTGCTTCGGGTAACCTCCAGAAATGCTTTGAGAGAGTTTGTAGGAAAGACACAGGAGAATAAGCATATGAAAATGACTCCTAAAGAAAATGCTCTGGCTCTGTTCTATCTCAGGGTCAGCGCAAGCGCCGTGGAGGACCACTTGATTCCAGGCGGCCTTGGAAACTAATGAGGCCAACGGCTAGCACCTTAGCAAGGGCTACAGGAGCAGAGCTGATAGCACTTGGAGAAAATGGTAAGCTTTCTTTTACACTTGGTCAGAAGCTAAACTGCTTCTGGGGGCTTGGGGTCCCACTTGAGCTGTGGTTTTGCCAGTTGCCAGGCTCCTTCTGGGGGGCGAGGATAACCTCAGATTTTACCAAGTGTCTAGCGTGGGATCTACAGACAAGCAGCGTACAGATAACTGATTGAGCTGGGTCCTGGGGCGCGATGGGTTCTCCACTCCTGCCAGATGAGTTGTATAGGAAAGGTGCTCAAGTGCTGCTCAGATGCCTGAAGGTTGGCTCTGAAGAGCTGGGAGTCACTGCAGCAGCCCCTACAGAGGGTGGCAAAGTAAGCTGGGGCAGTGCCAAGCTTTAGAGATGCAATCAAGACCTTGTCATTAGTGGTACCCCATCAATCAAGGGAAAATTTAAGGCAAGCTACTGTGAATCCTGTCGGACTCCTGGTTTATTCTGTGTGATCCGCATTGTCCTACATTAGAAAAATAACCTGTTGCTGTGTGCCTACTGCTAAGTGTTCTCATACAGCAGAAGTGAATGAGAAACTCAGCCACACTTGCCCTGGCATTGCAACTTGCAGAAGACCGTTCTAGAGTGGCAGGCAATTTTATTCCTCTGCGATCTCTGACCTTGATTCTCACACTCTCTTTTGAAGCTCCTGAAGAAGCATTGCATCTTCCAGGCCCATCTTCCAATCCTGCAGACATCCATGTCATTCTGGATGATTCTGATGACGTAAGTAGTGAATAGCACACTTCCCTAAACCTTATAGTCAAAAGGTTTTCTCTCTTGCTTCCTGAGAGAATCCATTCTTAAGGAAAGATTTGAAGTTCAAAATTGTGTTGTAAGTGCTCCTGTTTCCCCACTCTAGAGGTGATCAGCTGCCTTTCTGTAGAGTAGATGTAATGAGAAATGCATTTGCTGTGCCACATTCTCTCAGGAGTAGACTCCTCGTTCACTGAGTGTTAGCCCAAGGCTCAGAGAAAGTCATGGTACCGTCATGAATGAACTCTACTGATAAGTACTCAGCTTGAGGGATCTGGAAGCCTGAATGCTGGGGCACTGAAGATTTCTATGTAATGTGTATAGGACCTGTCTTTGAAGTTCTGTACGATAAAAGTAACTGGAGGTCATGAATGCAGATGTGAAACGTAGGGTTGATTCTGAATCAAAACAGGGAGTACTGAAAATGAGCAGGACAGAAGAGCATGTTCTGGTGGTTCAAAAGCTGCCTCCATTTCTGTACCTTTGCAGCATTATGACCAAAATCAGAAGGAATCATTTGTTTACAGAGCAGCAGCTGATTTCCTATTACTTCTAGCAGGATTCAGGAGAATGAGAGCAGGATATCCCACCATTTTTAACCTTTCTTGTGGATGTTAACATTGCTTAGCTGATGTGTTGTTTGTATGTGACACCATGGTTACGCACCAAAGTCTAATTGTATTTTCTTTTCTCTCCCTCCCCGTATGTATCGATACAAGTCGGATGATGAAGGTGAGTTGATGTTTTACAACTGATAAAGGGATTGTCCTAAATCTAATCTTTTGGGGGTGTTTTTTTCTAATGAACTTGAGCAGCAACATGGATTGAAACTGCCTTTTCCAAAAGGCAAGGGACAGTGTTCAGTGATCTGGCGACTGGATCCGATCTGTGCCTGATAGCCACTCTCAGAGCTTGTAGAGAGTATCTGAAATCAAAGCTACTCAAGATATGTTTCTATTTGCAAATACAGAAGTTCTGTGACACTGAAGTTGTTGATAATTTGATCATCACTTTTACCACTGGAATATCTGCTCTGAATATGAAATACTCCTTAAGATTATTTTTGATCTTTTGTGAGAGAAATAAAGAAGTTAGACTCTTAATAATCCCACATTCCAAGGATGGTTCCAGGGCTATATCTTTTATACCATATCTAACCTACGGAAAGTCTTTCTGGCATTGCAACATGCAGAAGACAATTAGTCATTGGTAGGATATTTTATTCCTGATTTTGATCCTCGCATTCTCTTTTTAAGCTCCTGCAGAAGTACGAAGTCTCTTAAGTCACTCGGGTGTTCCTGAAGTCATTGATCTCACTCAGGATGACTCTGATGAGGTAAGGAGCAAACGGCAAGCTTCCCTAAACCTTGCATTCAAATTAGTTTTCTATTGCGCTTCCTGAGGGAATTGGTTGTTAAGGACAGCTTGTATGTTCAAAGTTGAGTTGTCAGTGCACCGCTTTAAGCAGTCCAGAGGTGATCATTTGCCTTTACGCAGAGCAGACGTGATGATAAATGGATTTCAAGTGCAACATTCCTAAGGATGTAGACCCCCTTTTTCATCCTGTGGTTCATATAGGGTCAGATGACAACTCGTGGAAGCCCCTAAAAAATCCTATTATTGTTTTTTAATGCTCTTTTTGAAGCTAGAGCAGTATTTTATCTGCTTGATACTGCAGTTGATCACATCAACTTTATGATGGCACTGCTAGCTTGTAAAGCAGAAGCAAGCAGCAGAAATCCCATGTGGAGGTACCACCTCCAGGGCTTCTTCCTGAGCCTTTGAAAAGGAAAGGCCTCGAACTTGACACAATAATCTGCTTTTTAATGTGGTTTAGTGCCACTAGCCACTAGAGAGGGCTTGGGGTTGTGGGTATTTTCTTCTTTAGCAGCTGTTAGTCTGATAGGGAGTGTTTCTGGAAATCATGCCTGAATTGGCCTGTTTGTGGCAGAGATGGACAAAGAATCTCTTCCAGCCTAAATCCAATTAGTTGGTAGTGAGGCTGGAGAGGCAGGAGGATGCCGTTCTTGTAGGTCAAAAGATGCCTACATTTCGATCCCTTTGCAGCAGTGTGAGCAAATGCAGAAGCAACCACATGTTTCCAGAGCAGCAGCTAATCTACTGCTACTTTTCATGTTCCCCGTCAAAATGGGAGAGGGGTCTCCTACCATCTTAGCTTTTTTGTTGACATTGCTTAGCTGATGTGTTGTTTGTATGTGACACCATGGTTATGCACCAAAGTCTAATTGTATTTTCTTTTCTCTCCCTCCCCGTATGTATCGATACAAGTCGGTTGATGAAGGTGAGTTGATGTTTTACAACTGATAAAGGGATTGTCCTAAATCTAATCTTTTGGGGGTGTTTTTTTCTAATGAACTTGAGCAGCAACATGGATTGAAACTGCCTTTTCCAAAAGGCAAGGGACAGTGTTCAGTGTTCTGGCGACTGGATCCGATCTGTGCCTGATAGCCACTCTCAGAGCTTGTAGAGAGTATCTGAAATCAAAGCTACTCAAGATATGTTTCTATTTGCAAATACAGAAGTTCTGTGACACTGAAGTTGTTG